CTTCTGACACACACACACACACACACACACACACACACCACATCTCATTTCCCTCCAGTTCGACTCCCAGCCCTCACTTTGCCTCAGACCCTGGATAATAGAGATGTGAGAGGGTCTGCGCTGCCCCACCCCCCATCAGGGAGTGATGAACAGCTGTAAGATTGCCTGCTGAAAGTATTAGGCATGTTAATCTGTTGGACCCACAGATCATCCAATAATCGCGCTCGCAAGACAACACTCTATTAACGCCCAGTCAATGGGGGAGGGCGCAGGCCCCTCTTATTTTTTGTGTTTGTCTGTGTGTATGTGTGCGTGACAGCTAGTGACATCTCATTTTCCTATGCACGTACGCACGCACGCACGCACGCACGCACGCACGCACGCACGCACGCACACACACACACACACACACACACACACACACACACACACACAGAGAGAGAGAGAGATTCCCACCCTGATATTGCCTTTTCAGAAGCACCTAAAACAAGTTCCACATTCCTTTTGGATTAATTGTTTCTTCTGTTTTTTGTTATAAATCAAAAATCTCAATCTTGATGGAATTTCAGAAGCTTGTCATTTTTCACAATTTGCTGACGATATACAGTATAGACAAAATGATTGATTGATTGATTGATTGATACTTCAAATAATGAATCATAGTTACTGGCTTTTAATTCCCTAGTATGGGTCCAGACTGACCGACACAAAGGAACCAAATAAATAGTGCTAATACTTAGTGCTAAGTCAGATGAACCTGACACCAGCTTCTGCTTCATTTAGAACAAATCCTATCTAAAAGCTTGTGAATAACAGGCTAAGCTTTATATGCAGTTGGATTCAAATGATGAACACTCTAAAACTAAAACCAAAGCCAGAATAGTTAAGCATTCAGGTAACTATTCATTTCACATCCAATTCTGAAAAGTCACCTGATGAGTTGAGTCTCACTACATTTCAACATGTGTCTGCTTCACCAGCTCATGCTCTGTGAGGTTCACCTGCTCAGTTGGGTTTTGTTTTAGTTCTGATGGAAATGTGCGCTGCATACATTATTTATTTTTCTCGATGATGGAATATGGACCTTTTTTAAACTCATCATCTGAACCATCAATTACAAAATAAATGTTTACCTGCAAGTTCTTGATATTCAATTTCCTGTATATACAAGAGGAAGCCTTTCCCAAACATGGTCTCAACTGAACTATGTGTCGTTTCTTCCAGACTACCACAGTTCAAAGAGGAGGCCAAGAGTTACGTTGGTGCCAACATGAAGAAGGTAAGGAACTTCAATGTTTCATTTGTATTTCATCTGCTAGCTATTATTGTTCCCTTATTCACAATTTCCACTCTTGGTTTATCTCACTGTCATTGTGTTTTTTTTTACTTTTCCTTTATTTTTATTGTTATCCAGGAAATAGCATGTTAGCTGAACATGTTCAAAAAAACCAAGAGCACCAATTATTCCTGCACATGTAATTTTTGGTTAAATGAACAACATTCATGCAACAAAATAATTAGGTTTCAAAATCTGGATACATTTTTAATCGGCCAGTCCTAATGATCCTAATCCTGTCTTCTGTTCCTTAACACGCAGTATCCTCTAATCTCATTTCTCTCCTTTTATTTACATTTGGAAACTTTGAGTTGTTTTGGTTTGAGCTGCCCATTTCTCTGCCTGTTTTCCTTTCCACAGACCTATCCTCTTTCTTTCGGGTCTTATTTCCGCAGGGGTTGACTTATAAGTGGGATTTATGGGTGGGCTTTGGGTTGCTATTCAACTTTTCAATGTTTTCACGCACATTTTGAATGCCTTTAAATCATCACTGAGTCAATTCCCTTTAAGCTTTTCACCATGACACATTTGAGTTGTTCTCAACTAATGAAAGTCTGAACTTTGAGATTTAAAAACATCCTTAAAGGCAATTTGTTACCAATGGCCCCACCTCAAGTAGAAGTATTGCTGATCAAATGTAAGGCTTGTCTGGGTCAGGCTGAGTGAAAAAGACCACCACACTGTTTCAAACACTTACTCAGAAATAAATATTTTGTAATGCAACCAATTTTTTCGCAATACTGTTGAAACAGTAGCGAAGGGCGCTCGCTGAAATGCATGCTGGGGTACCAGCGCCAAGTGTAGTAGCAGTAGTATAACATGTGAAGCTGAATGTAAAGATGGACACTTAAGAAAATGAGACTGAAGATGGAGATATCACACACTAGAAGAACTTATGCCGAGAAGAGTGTCGTTTGGAGGTTTTTTGGATTGAAGAAATCTGACGTGGACCAAACAAACATTGATTACAAAAATGTTGTGGAACTAAAATTAATCCCCGAGGAGGTAACACAACTAATTTACTCCACCACCTCAAAAGAAAGCACTTATTGGAGTACGAAGAATGAATGAAAATACGATGTGCTTCAACAAGCAACGCTGGTGTTTAAAGCAAAGTCGAGTTAAGTGTGGCTTGAAGATGCATTTTTTTCGGGGGACTGCCTATGATAGGAATAACGTTTAAATGTAAATACATTTCCAATCATTGAAAAATAACTAACATGATATACCATGATCATTTTGAAGAATACCGTGATAAAGTCCCTTAATTCCGTGGACTAATACTATTCATTGCATAGGTTTCATTAAAATAATAATGGCCTATTGATTCACCTATGTGGACTCATACACTGGAGATGTGGCATGATGCACTAAACTCCAAAAGGGAACCTCTGCCCACTGTGACTGTTATGTGGGGCAGTTAAAACCGGGTTCAGCTTTATGCATGAAATGGTAAAAGATTGATCATAAATGTAACTCTTTTACTGCGTGCCAGCAGTGTTGATTTCGTCAACGAAAACTATGACGAAAAATGTTCGTCAACAACCTTTTTTACATTTTTTTCTATTTTACAAATAGATTCTTGATAACGAAACCTTTGACGAAATGTATATTTAGTTTTCGTTGACGAGACGGGACTAAGGTGTTAATTTGTGGACTATCAGACATTCAAAATGGCAGGGTAATTTCCCCCAATTGTACGTCTTGTCTGTCAAAATGCATCTTACGTCTCTAACTTGCAATATCATTATTTCCGCTCTCTTCACTCCAGAAGAGCGATCTCTCTGTGTGCGGGGGGCGGGGCCTCACTCTCTCTGTGTGCAGGGGGCGGGGCCTCACAGACACGGTGCAGCGGCACACAGAGATCTGCCGCGGACGGAGCGTTCAGAAGTATAGAGACACTCTACAAGGCTCGATGTGGACAAAGCTCGTTTGCCATTAGTGTTTTCGCGTTGGCGCGTTGACACGAGTAGAGTAGTCTGTCCAAACAGCCGGCCAAAAGGCGTCATATTCAGTCGGAGAAATGCACAATTTTCGACTTCCTTAACTCGTAGCTCTGTTGCCCCAATTACGAGTAACGTTATCACATCAGGTTTGCAGAGGTGGGAGAAGTACTCAGATCTTGTAGTTAAGTAAAAAAATACCATAGTGTAGGAAAAGTTCCTCAAGTAAAAGTATTCTCATCAAATTATAGTGAAAGTAGCGACAGTAAAAGTAGTCGTTGTGCAGATTGGTCCATTTCAGAATAATATATATGATATGTTTCATAATGATTGATCATTAAAGTGTTCTCAAAGCTGGTAAAGGTTCAGCTAGTTTTAATGACTTTGTATACTGCAGGGTAGCTTGTGGATTTACTCCAGGTGGAACTAAAGTCTGATTTTAAGACCTGATTATATTTCACATCATTCATCCACATATGTAAAGTAACTAAAGGTATTAAATACATGTAGTGGAGTAGAAGTACACCATTTACCTCTGAACTGTAGTGGAGTAGAAGTATACAGTAGCAAAACATTTAAATACTCCAGTAAAGTACAAGTACCTCAACATTTTACTCAAGTACAGTACAATATGTTAACATAATTATATATATTTCATTTATTTCACATTTAAATAAAGCAATTAATCCGGTTAACAATTTGTTCGTTTTTCCCTGTAAAAAATAACAAAAAGTAAATACAATAATACCGTTAAAGTACCGGATCGATAAGCAGTATCGATAAAACCGTAGTACCGTAGAAAACCTTAACGATACCCATCCCTAGATATTACA